GACAACCCTAGACCTGAGGGCTTTGTCCACGGAAGAGCTATTCTGTTGCCTGCAATCAGGTTGGGCAGTAGCTACAGGGACCTTTATGCACTGGGTTTCTGCTCAGCATGGAGATTAAGGAGGTCAGTACATACGGATTTAAGAAACACGTCTGCAATTTTTCTGCAGTTTTGTCTTGCGGCTCCCCCCTTCCCCCCCATCCCAATTTCACATGTTCTTCCAGGCCTGGCTGTGATGATGAGACTACTTGATCCACTCAGGAGCAGCAAATGATCTGTGTCAAGAACTGCGGGGTCATTTCCCTGCACTTCCTAGTGAAGCTCTTGCCTGGCCTCTTCTCTGTGGCTCCTGGAACCCAGCAGTTTGCCCTCGACTGCCCTGCTTTGGGAGGCTGGAGGGTCAGAGTCCATAGGAGAATCGGTTTGATTGGAAACTGGGAGCTGGTCAGCATTTTCTCCTTGTACAAAGGGCACTTGGCAGCGGTGGGTATTGGGACAAGGGGTAGGAGCCTGCACCGATGGCATTTCTCCTCGTGGCAAGGAGGCAGGGCAGGCCAGGCACACGGCTTCGTTACCCTAAGTGTTGCCCTGGGTGGTCTCCTGATTTGCGCGTCCAGGGGAGCCATGTGGACAGCTTGCAAACATGGCTCGCGATACAGGACTCCCGGGGCTTGTTCTGGCAGGTCTTGTGGTCCTACCCCTCGGCCTTCCTGTCCCTCGTTAGCAGGATGCTTGCGAAGTGCTTGCTCGGGTACCGCGATGACGAGAGGCTTCCCAGCCCCCTGCTTTCCGTGTCCACCTTCTCCGCGACACCGAGCTCAGTGCTTGTTTCAGGTTGCAGGCTTGGAGCAGAGCTGCTTGGCTTGGCTGGCGCGTGCAGCCGTGCCCAGAGAGCGGGTCGCTTCTGTGCCCAGCCCTGTGTGTCGTGTATGTCGGTGTCCTCGGGCTTGCCACAGAGCCTCCCCCGGGAAGGCTTTAGGCATGATCTCCCCGGCTGAAGGATGCTGGGATCTCCATACTTTTTTGCAGGGTTTCCTCTGCTCCGTCTCGAAGGCAAGGGATCGCACCCACGGGAGTTGGCCTAAGTGTTGTACCCAAGTTCTCCCCAGCTTCAAGTGTGCTGCCCTCTGTCCCCTGCTCGAGGCACGATGGTCCCTATCTGACCCAGCCCCGCCAAATGCTTGCCTAAGCTGTTCTCTGGCTGGGGAGAGCCAGGGCGTAGAGGGCTGTGGGAAGAGCTTTGCTCATGTTCCCTGACTCACCCTGCTCGGTGACTGTGTCCTCCCTGCATGTGTGCAAAGGGTGTGCCCGGCGCAGCTCCTGGCTCTGGGGCTCTGATAACCCCCTCCTGCGTTCCCACACCCGGGAGGCGTGGGGTGCTGGCAGGGCTCCAAGGATGGGACGGGGCCCGGACCGGCCTGGAGGCCTCAGCCCAGCGCTGCTTGAGTGGCACCCTGCCAGCGTCCCAGGGCGGACGTGCTGGGGCTGCCCTGGGCCGGGCTCTGCGTGGCTGGAGGAGCGGGTGCTCCCGTCACGGGCGTCACCCAGCTTGGCCCCTGGGGCAAGGGCAGGGCTGAAGCTTGGCAGGGCTCCCCCGCACCTCTCAGGTGCTTGCAACAGGGTTTTTCCTCCTGGAGCCGGTCCCTTCTCTACCGTGCGCCTGCAAACCAGACCCGAGGGCCCTGGCTGCTGTGATGCTCCTCAGGTGCCGGGAGCATTGTGCTTTCTCAGCGGAAAATGGGGAGCCTCCTTCTCCTCTGCCTACTGCAACACAGCCAGGGGCAGACCCTGTGACCTGCTGGACAGGGCTTTCCCCAGCCGGGTTTGGTTGGTTAAACCCTCGGGGTGTTGCATTCCCTTCTGCCTTCTCCTCTGGATCCATCCCAGCCTCCTCCTGCTCCCCCCGCGCCCGAGCGCCGTGCGGCTGTTAGCGCGGGCTCAGCTGGCCAGCTGTCATGCGGCTAATCCTGCCCCGCGGGGCAGGGAGAGGCTGGACGGCAGCTCCAGCTGTGCTGGCCCAGGCCGGCAGCTGCGATGGAGCGGCCCCGGCATTCCCGCCATCCCTGCGCCCTTGGGGCCTCTCAAGTGTCCCTCTGTTCCCGTAAGCTTGGCGTGGCCCCGTGCACACGTAGCATATGTGTATGGGGGGGCCGTGCATGTCATCTCCACCCCGCTGGGCAGGCGGATCCCAATTCTCTCGGCAGGGGGGGCATCCCATGCTGTTCACCTCCCTTCCCTGCCCCCGGGGAAGAGGAGCTGCTGCTCCCCGGGGACCTTGACATTGGATGTATCTGGGCATCTGGTGCTTGTCACCTGCGAGCTTGGAGTGAGGATCGGGGCCTGTGTCCCCCAATCCCCTGCCTCTTGGCCTGGAAACCCATGATGCTGTGCAGGGCAGCTCTACAGCGGGCTCGTCCTAGCTACCTGCCCCAGTGCTGTTGCAAAGCCAAGCTGGCCCCCCATCACCTTTGCTGCTTCCTGCAGTGGCTGGGGGGCAGCTGGTGGCTTGGCCCCGCGTCGTCTGTGTGTGGCTGCCCCCAGACACCTGTCGCTGGCCCGAGCCCTGCTACCAACAGATGCCCCGGGGGCAGCGGGGAGGGGAGATTCCCCCCTGTTTCCGCCCCCAATTGAGGAGGCAGGGCCCAGCAGCTGTGCCTGCGGTATTATATCTCTGGCAGGTGCCAATGCATGTGCTTCGCTTTAACCCTCCGGGTGCCGGGAGTGCCCATGGGTAAAGCTCACGGATGCAGGAGACAGCTTTGAGTCCATCGGGGCAAGGAGTAGGGGCCCACAGGCTTCCTGGAGCAGGAGGGCAGCACAGCTGGCTGCACTAGGGTGGGTCAGTCTTGCCCGGTGCCCTGTCTCCAGCAGCAGCGAGGGGCTTTAGAGGCACAGGAAGGCCATGGGCATCTGGGAGCCCGGGGTGACCCCGAGGCTGCCGGTGACTTTGATCCTGCTTGGCCCCCGGCTTTGCCCGGAAGGGGAAGCACTTGATGGAGTGATAGGCAGCGCCAGGGCCTGTCCCCAAGCTGCTCAGGAAGCCATGTGGCAGCTGCCTTGCATCTCTTCCCCAGGCGCTTGTGCCTGTCTGCAGTGGGAAGTGCTTGGGATGGGTAGCCCTGCAGGACTCCTGCCCCCTCCTTGCACAGGGCAATGCCCATGACCCCTGCGCAGCCCCTCGGTAGGCCAGGACCGTGCTGACGGACCCCCTGCCCAGCCTCTGCGCCCCCTGCGAGGGGCCAAGCGGCAGCTAGTTCCCAGAACCGGCTGGCGTAACCGGACGTGGCTCTCGCAAGCTCCTTCCTGCAGCTGGCTGTCTCCGATAGCGCGCCCAGTGCAGGGAATGCTGCCAGCTGGGCAGCCCTGAGGCCGCGTCCCTGCATCAGCCACTGGGCAAGCTTTCCACGTGCTGGCCTCCGCCCTGGGCTCCTGTCCGGGGTGGGGGTGGAGTTGGGGCTTGCCTGGCTCCTTCTGGCAGTGGCCAGCACGGGTGTGGGTGCCGCAGGCGCCAGGCTGTGGTGAGAAACAGATGTTCCAGAGGCTCCGGCACAGCTGCCGCTGGAGGCTGCCTTCGGCCTGCTCTGGAGAAGCTGCAGCTGGACCTCCAGCCACAGCAGGCACAGGGGGCCTTGGGGGTGGCAGGGGTGCAGCGGGGCCAATGCAGTGCCATTGTGCCACAGGGCTTTGCTGGCCTGGCTTGAGGGGGCCCGTGCAGAGCTAATGCAGCCTGGACTCCTTGATTGTGCATGGAGGTAAGGGTCTGTTTTGTGCACCGGGGGCAAAGCAAGGTTGGCCGTGTCCCCTGCCCAAGGCGGTCATGGTCAGCTTTGGGGTCTCCTGCGTGGCACTGGATGTCTGACCCCTCTCCGCCTTTTCTCCCCAGGCCAAGAGGAAGCTTGATCTGGAAGGGACCGGCCAGCCGGGCATCCCCGAGTTCCGGACACCCAAGGGCAAGGACCACACGGTCACCCAGATCGCCAGCCCCAAGAGTAAGTGGCGCAGGGAGGCAGTGATGTGGAGGCAGATCCAGGACGAGAGACCTGCGGCTCTGGTTCCCGGAGCTGCTGGAGAGGCTTGTTGGCCCACTGGTCTCTGCAGGGAGAACTGCGTTGTGCCTGGTCTTGGGTCTTGCTGCAATCGGATGCCATCCCAGCATCCCTGGGTGGTGGTGAAGCTAATGAGCATCCCTTGGGCATCTACATCCTGGGTGTAGGAGAGGGTGTGACCCACCTTGTTGGAGAGCTTTAAACCTGGGACCTTCTGGGCTCAGGGACAGCGCAGTCTGGTTCCTGAGCATCTGATGCAGACCAGGCACCAAAGAGGGTCTCCAACTCCCACCTGTCTGCACCATGCTGGTGGAGAAGGGGGTGCCCTTTACACCTCATCAGCTGGTGTCAGACATGGCTGGGCACCACTCTGGATGAACTCTCCACCCCCAAGAGGCCTTCTCCTTCTTGGCCAGACCACCTGAAGTGTCTCCTCTCTTCCCATGACAGCCCCCAAGTCCCCCGGGGAGAAGACACGGTACGACACCTCTCTGGGGCTCCTGACCAAGAAGTTCATCCGCCTGCTCAGCGAGTCAGGCGACGGCGTGCTGGACCTGAACCGCGCGGCCGAGGTGCTGGAGGTGCAGAAGCGCCGCATCTACGACATCACCAATGTGCTGGAGGGCATCCAGCTCATCCGCAAGAAATCTAAGAACAACATCCAGTGGATGTAAGTGGTGCCCGGGCAGGGAGTGTGGAGCCAGGCACCCTGGGCTTGCTGGGCTCAGGGCTCTGCTGGGGAGGGTCAGGAGGTCCAAAGGGGGTCGTTTGGCTCCTGTCTGGGTCAGGCGTGACCCTCCTTGGGCTTTCCTGGGGCTCACAGGGTCAGGAGCTAGGTTCCAACGTGATCTCTGCACGCCTGGTTTCTAACCCTGTGGGGACAGGGCAGGCCCTGCTAAACCTGACCCTTCACGCCGGGTCCCCGGGTGTAAATGAGCCACCAGCTCCCTGAGCTTAGGAGATGCTTCTCCCATAATTATCCTCTGGGGAAGCCTTGTTCCTTCCCCGCGAGTGCTGGTTGCCATTGCGCTGGCTGATGGAAGGAGTCTCATCTGCCGGTCACTAGCACACCTGGGTCTGTGCTGATGCTTCATGGTGTGCTAGGAGCTGCCTCTCTCCGAGGCACAGCTTGTCCTGCCCCAGTCTGGCACTGGGGAGAGCCCAGTCTTGCTCCCACCACGGGCTCTCACAATTAGCTCTGCTTGCCCTCTCCAGGGGCACGGGGCTTTTCGAGGACACCTCTATGGCGGCGAAGCAGCAGGCAATGCGCCAGGAGCTGGTGGATCTCTCCAAGTCCGAGAGGACCTTGGATGGGCTCATCCAGGACTGCACCCTCCAGCTGAAGCACCTGACCGAGGATGGGACTAACCAGAGATATCCTTCCCTGCAGGCCTGGGGTTATGGGGAAGGGCACAGAGACATCTCCATGGAGGGAGCAAGCCGAGGACAAGCCTCCAGGGGTGCGGGGCCCGAAGGAGGATCTAGGGGGAGGATGGAGTGGTCTCGAGGGACAAGCTTCTTCCCCAGGATGGGCTGAACTCCTGCTTCAGGGGCGAGGAAGCCAGATGCCAGGCAGAGCTAAGCTTGACCCATGCTGTTTGAAAGCAAGCTGGGAAGGGAGCCTGCTCGGTTTGGCTGGGGTTCGTCTCCTCTCCTCTGCCAAGGAGCTCCAGAGCTCGGGCTCTGCAGCCAAGAAAGCTTTGCCTCTAGCGGCCAAGTCTTCTGGGTCCTGTCCAGGCATGCCGCCCCTCTGGTGCACACCTGTTCCCCGGGCACTGGGGTGCAGCAGGCTTTGGTAGGGCTGCAGCTGGGGGGTGGGGGATACGGGGGGTTGAGGCTCTGATGCCAGTCCGAGGCCGCTGTTTCCTTTAACTCCGCTCCCCCACGCTGGCATACATCACCTACCAGGACATCCACGCCATGAGCAACTTCCAGGAACAGACGGTGATCGTGGTCAAGGCCCCTCCGGAGACGAGGCTGGAGGTGCCGGACTGCCACGAGGTGCGTGGAGGAAAGGCTGCTCCTCCTCTTGCTGTTACCGGTGCACCGTGGTGCTAGGAGCTGTACATCCCCGCGGGGAGTCCCTGCCTTGCCCAACCTGGTCGGACAAAGGAAGGAGGATGATGCTGGGGCAACTCAGCGACTGGTCCTGTAGGGACCTTAGCAGCAGAGCTGGGCATGGACAGTGGCTCTCCTGAGTGCCAGCCCAATGTCTTCGGTCCAAGGCCATGTCTCTGCATCTGGAAATCCTCCAGCTGGGGGCACGCGCTTCAGTCATCGCCGCATGGCCATGACGGCTCGGCTGTGCCTCGAGGATGCTGGGCGCCTGCTTCCCAAAGAGGCTCTTCTCCAGCAAGCAGACCTTGCCCAGGGTTTTAACATGGGGCAGGAAGCGTGGTGCCAGGGCCCCCTCGGAGAGCAGCGCCTCCCGGATCAGGGGCAGACAGCTCGCGGGCTGGACCCACAAGGCCGGACGAGTTGGTCTGGACTCTGCTCCCCGCAGCCGTGCTGCTCCGGACAGGGAAGGCGCAGCTGGGCTGGGGCTCGAGCTCCCGTGGGCTCTCCCTCTGCCGTGCCCGGCTTGCTCCCTGCCCTGCCGGTCTTGGGCAGGGGTGGGTGATCCCCTGGGCCAGCCTGACGTCCCTCCCTCTCCCTCCGCAGGAGAACGTGCAGCTGCACCTGCGGAGCACCAGCGGCCCCATCGAGGTGTACCTGTGCCCCGAGGAGGTGGCCAAGGACAGTCCCGCCAGCGAGAGCCGGTTCCTCGAGCCCTCCCTCCAGGACAGCCGCAGTAGCACCGAGCCCTCTCCAGCCAAAGGTGAGGCCTTTGCTTGCCTGCTCTTGGGCTCTATCTTCCCCAGTGCTTTGCCTTTGCTTCCTCTATCTAACCACAGCCTTTAGCTGCCGTCTGTCCTCTCGGCACCCCCTGTTCCCAGCTGCTGGCCCACCGCCACGTGGCGCCGTGCAGGCTTTGCTTCCTGTACAGCTCCGGGCCCCCGCGCCTGCCTCGGCCGGGACATAGGGTGGTAGGGCTGGAGAGCAGAGGGGTGCAGGTTGGCGTGGAGGGGGCTGTATCTGGCCTGGCATGGGGCATCAGCAGAGATGGGTGTGGGCTATTGGGAGGAACGTGGGCAGGACTAGCTGGGCATGTGGGGGGCCTTGCCAGGGCCCTCTGAGTAACACAGCCAGGGAATGGGGAGGTGCAGGGCCACGGCTTTGCAGCCTGGAGGGGCCATGTACATCGTGGCAGGGGGCAGGACCACGCGCGCTGGGCTACCTGCCAGCTCCTTACGCCAAGCTCTCCGCTCTCTCTCCAGCGGCGTCCCTGACGGTGGCCCTGCCCGGCTCCCTGCTGGAGGTGGGGGACGGGCTGCTGGACTCCCCGCAGCCCTTGCTGCAGCAGACGGAGGACCAGCTGCCCTCCGCCTCCTACCTGGACTCGGTCCCCTTCGTCAGCTTCTCGCCACCCCTGGACCCGGAGGACTACCTGTGGGGGCTGGAGGAGGGCGAGGGGGTCAGCGACCTCTTCGACACCTACGACTTGGGCGAGCTGCTGCAGAACTGAGCTGGGGCCTCATCCCTCCTCGGTGTGGTGCTAACGACCTCCCCGGCGCCCGGGGCTTTGCCTTGAAGTGTCTGCCTCCAGCCAGGGGCACTGAGACCTCGGGTGGGGCATGGTACATCCCCCTCCCGCCCCAGCCTCCGTCCTTGGTCTCGGGGGTGTTTCCTCACCCCCTGTGCTCGGCCTGTGCCGAGGGCAGCACAGACCACGTGTAGCTAATGGTGCAATGAAGGACCAAAGAGATGCTCCCCAGCCCTGCACTGCGGGACCTGGACCGTGTCCATCCTCCCCAATGCCTCTGTCTTCTCCCCCAACTGGGGAGACTGGGACTGGACTGGAAGCCTGCAGGAGACCAGGGCTCTCACGGCAGAGTTTTGAAAGCACTGGGGGGCTGTGGAGCGCTGCACGGCCTTGCGGCACTGGGAGGTGGGGGTGAGCACCGCTGCTTAATCCTGCTCAGGTCTGTGGTGGGGGTTGTGGGCACGGCTGGTGGCTTGGTAAAGTCCTCGGGACCCTGCAGTCGCTGGTGGGAGCTGGAGCAGCTGGGAGGGACCGGCAGCTTTGCACCAGGGGGTCTCGCAGCTCCCTGGGGGTCTGGCCGCTGCTCCTGCCCCGTGGTCTGGGTCTGAGCCCAACCAGGGAGTCACCTGGCTGGTGACTGCCACCATCTCAGGCTTTGGCCGTGGCACCGTCAGCCAGCTCGGGCCCTCCTGGAAGGGCTGCGGCCTCCAGGGACTTTGCCGGTGACTTGATCTGATGCATCGCCCAAGCTCGCAAGGAGTCAGGGCTGCGTCAGGGCTTCTGGGCAGCAGCCAGAGGCAGGACAGGACACATGGCTCCTGGCTCCAGCTGTGCCCAAACCACCTCGTTCTGGGCATGCTGGGCTCCCGGCAGCTGCTTTGTCCTGGTGCCCATGCTGCCGGCTGCATTGCAGACTGCTGCCAGGGGACCCTGGAGCTAGTAGCAGGTCTGTTGCTCCCATGGGAAGGCTGGATTTCCCTTCCCTGCCCTAGGGTCACTGTGGCTCAGGCTCGGTGAACCCGGAGGCCCCCGTCATGGCAGGCTGGGCCGGGGCCCCTCGGAGACAGGCGGGGAGCAGGGTCTCTCGCCCTGCTTCCTTTAAGAGGTACAGTGTCTGCTTGGGGAGAGGCTTTTGCGGCAGGTCCTGCTGATTTCCTGGTTGGGATGGAGGGCCTGGGGGGACCCACACTGTCCCCCACAAACAAGCCGGGGACACGACTCCAACATCCGGCTCGTTTCCGTGGCTTGGGTGGGAAGTCATCTCAGTGCCGCAGGATCGAGGGTGGCGGGGCAAGGCTCGGGGGGACCGAAGTAGACCTCACAGAAGGTACCAGCCCCCCGGGCTCTGAGCAGACGCTGGCCTCTGTCCTGAGCCAGGCATGGAGACCCCTTGTGCACTGGGGACCCCCGAGTTATTAACTCTTAACTCTGCTCCGTGAGCGAATGCAAAAGCAGCCTGGGAGGTGGGCACAGCCTGGCTGCGTCCTGAAGGTGCTTCTTGGTGGGGTCCCAGCCGCTGGTCCCCTCCTCTCCCATCACCTTCGGTGCAGGTGTGGGCCGCGCTGCCCTTTTGCCTGGCTCAGAGCAAGGTCTGCGCTCGTCGCTGTGCTACCCTGTCCTCTGCAAGGCAGTGGGGGAAGCTGCTCCTGGCACCGAGCCCCTGGCCCTGCCTGCACCCACCATCAGCCGAGGGAGGCAGGGGATGCAAGTGTCTAACAACACGAATGCACTAATACAGGTTCAGGGCTCCCAGGACTCGGCCACCCGAGCTTACCCTGCTCGCGAGGCTTTGATCCAGCTGAGATTGAGCGGTGCCGCATGGGAGCACTTTGGGTACACCCGGCCCCTTCCAAAGCTCTGGGTGAGGCACGCGGCTGTAGCAGGCATCGGTGGGCCGAGTTCAATTGAGACGGAGCCAGCTCAAGTGATTTAAACCCCCACCTTCAAATCCCCCATTTGGACAAAGCCAAAGTGGTGCAAAACCAGACTGAATGGGCCAGGGGAAAGAGCAGCGCAGGGAAGCTGGCCTGCAGGGGCGGGGGGGAAATAAGCGTTCTCATCTAGTTTTTATGTTTGAAGCACACCTCTGTGCAGAAACCCGGTGTGCTCTGAGGGCGGAGAGCAGCCCTCGCTAATGCCTGCTGCCACGGCAGGGTTTGAGTTGGGACCTGGTTCGCTGTCATCCTGTTTGCAGAATGATTCTCTGGCATGGCCTGCCTTCCTCGGAGAGGCTTTTCCACTGCAATTTGGGTGGATCATCGCTCTTAGCGGAGCTCAGGGAGGTCTTACCGATTCGGGGATGTTCGGGGGTCAAGGCAGGTGTGAAGTGCCCAGTGCTGTGAGCGTGTCGCTCTGGTCCCCCTGTATCGACACGCTTTGAGGAACCACTGGCGGTTGTGAAAGCGTCCAACACCTCCTAGTTTCCCCTTGCGTGCTCTTTCCCCTCTGAAACCCTTTGAGGATTGCGATCCGGGCCGTGCAGCTGCCTTCTGTCTTAACGTTGTGAAACTGTACGTAATTATTGCACTGTATTTATAATGGAAACCACCTTCTTCCACGAGGGTTGTTTTCAAAGGTGGCCGTATTTAAAGTGTCCCTGGGGTGGGTCTCCTGCATGGGGCTCAGCTGCGTTGTGGAGGAGACCGTGTTTATTCAGGAAATGTGTGACTTGTGATGTTTTGTGAGGGGGGGGTGGAAATAAAACTTGTTTTTCTGCTGATAGTTTTCTTGAAAAAACAAACCCAACCTGTGCTTGGTGCAGTTCTTTTGCCGCTATTCTCAGAGGGAAGATGTCCACGTCCAGGCTCGGCGGAGATGCCGTGCAGGTAAGGGAGGGCTGCAGAGAGACTATCTTATGGATGTGGCTATGGGGCTGAGCCCTGATGCAGAAAGCGTGGCCTGAAGCAATCATTGGGTTCAGTGATTGCAGGCATCCCATGAATGAGAAGAACGAAATCATCAACTTTAACTGTAGAGCAGCTGGCAACCTCTGCAGACCCTTGGTCTCTAACTAGCTAGCTGCTCCCCAATTCAGGGACTATCTTCCAGTTCCCAAGTTCTTCGGTCTCTTGCACCTCAATGCCTCAATCCTTGCTCCCCAGGTTGCAGGTGCTGGAGAAGGGGCCGTCCCCATTCCCAGGTGCCGTGGCAGCCTGGGGCAGGGCAGTGGTAGTCTGCGAGGTGGAGATAACCTCGCGGGACCGCGCTTTCTGGCTTTATCAGGGAGCTCGGCTGAGAGGAGAGCTCGGAGACTCCCCTTGAGATAACCCCTGAGTCCTAGGCCAGGCTAGGGTCAGGGCACTTGGTGGCCACGTCTCCGCAAGCTGCCGGGCAGAGCTGGCCAGAGGCATGTGCCCCCAGCCCTGTAAGGAGGTCTTGGCCTTGGCTTTGGGGAATGCTTAGACTGGCACGGAAGAGTTGGTGACCGCGGGCGCTTCCCCAGAGCAGGGTGGGGAAGCCTGGGCTCCCCCCCACCCCCAGGGACGCGCCTTCCTCCTGGCTTGCCCTGTGGATCTTGCAAAAAACCAAAAAAAGTCATGTCTGCACATGGACCCGGCTTCCCCCCCGGGAGCCAGAGCCCACCCACCACGCGGCGGGGAGAGGAGGGTGCTCCCGGGGAAGGGGAGCTGTGGGCAGAGGTGCGCCCCTTGCTCGCCTGCGGGGGCAAAACACATCTGCTCCTGCAGCTGCTCGGGCACTGGCGGGGTTAAGCAAGGTCAAGGGTCACTTTAGGCTTAGGCTCCACCTAGGCTAGGACCGGATCCAGCCTGAGCTCGTATTGCCACCTTGTGCCTTGCCGACGACACTGCAGTCGGGCTGCAAAACGGCTTCCAGCTCCTCGCTGCCTTTGGGGTGGAGTTTCCCCCTTTCCTCAGTTTCCCCAGCAGCTGGGAGAAGCGTCTGCCTGGAGAGATGCCCCTGCTGGTTCCCCACCCGGAGCCACCGTCGTGCTAGCAGTGGGTGCCCGGGGCTGCAGCTTCAGGGGCCTACTTGTCATTCCCTCCCACAAATGCTGGGTCACCCCTGATGCTTCCCTCCCTGCTCCCCATAAGGGGGAATTGCCACGAGGAAACCACCTGGCGAGGCGTAAGCAGTCCTGCAGCCCCCAGGAAGCCTGGGATAGCCTCGACCGGGGTCCTCCAACTCTCTCCCTGCCCTGCGCCTAGGGTGCAGCGATTGGCATGAGATGCCCCCAGTCCTCACATTGCTTGTTCTGCCCAGGCTGCGAGGTCCCGGGTGCAAAGCCGTGCACGGCAGAAAAACTCCACCTTCCCTGCAGTGGGTTCCCTGAGGCATGAGAGGGGCTCAGCAGTTATGCAAATGCAGGCCAAGGTAACGGGGTGGATCAACTGCTGAAGGCTCCCTGTTGTGCAGGGAGGTGGGTGCATGTCTCCCTCCCCCTGCCCAAGGGGCCAGGGCAGGTTGGAGCACCCGGGGCTTTGCCCTGCAAGGACCAGGCACTTGGATGCACCCCCTTGCCGAGGAAGGGCTGGTGGGGGGCAGCACTGCGCCATCACAGCCGTAGTCCCAGGGTGCAGGCTTTGCATAAGGGAGGCATTCGAGGAGGGGAAACAGCCCCGTGCAGCTCTGCCTGGCCGGGCTGGGCTTGCTCCCAGCCCCATGCAGAGCACAGATGGCTCTAGCAAAGCCCAGGCCCTAAAAGACAGCGAGTGCCCTCCTAGTAAGCAGAGGCTGAGGGACCAGTGAGTTGAGACCCCCCTTGATAGCAGTCACCAGCCCCCCTTGTGCCATGAATCTCGATGCAGTTATAAAGCCAGGTGAAGGAAGCACTGTCCCCATTTCACAGCTGGAAAAGCTGAGGGTCAGGAGCCAAAAAACATGGCAGAGGAGGACTGTGGGGCTGGTGTGAGTGGCTGAGATGGAGGGGGCTGTGTGTGGTCCTTGGCCTGGAGTGTCGTACCTGGGGGGATCCGCGTGAAACCGTCCCCGGGCAGGCCCCTGGGTCCTCACCGTGCTGCGTTCAGGCGGAGGGCACGGCCCAGCCCCCTGCTCTCCACCCCGTACCTCCCTCGCCCTGCCCCTGGGTCCCCCAGTGAGGAGGCCCGGGAGGCTTCGCTGCCCCGTGTCATTAGGATCACGCCTGCTGCTTTGGGTAAAAGCCATGTTGCAGCTGCAGGGGCATCGATAGCTGCAGCTCTGCGGCTGATAACTCAGCCCTGCCGGGAGACGTGGACTGCCCAGGCATGTTCCCCTGTTCCCCGCTGCAGCTGTCCCCTTGGCCCCGCTCTCCCAGGGGCTGCTCAGCTTGGCTCTCGCCTTTGCGTGAATCTCGCTGGCAGGGCAAAGTCTGAGACCCCGACTTCAGCTCGCTGGTCCTGGCGCTGGTGATGGGCTTGCTCCCTGACCAGCAAGGGACAGAGCCAGGTGTTCCTGATGCCCAGGTCTGTGCTCAGACCCCTGCCCCTTTTAGGCAGCTGGGGGTTCAGCTGTCCCCCCCGCTCCCCCGCCACAAAAGCCAATGGCACCCAGAGCCGGGGGCTGGATCTTGCCGGGCTCATGCACCCCGCCCAGAGCATAGCTGGCGCTGAGGGGGCAGCTGGATGGAGCCCAGCCCAGCTGCGATCCCGGGAGCGGGGCCAGAGGGCAGCGAGGGGCCCCCTCCCCTGGAGGCAAGAGCAGCTGGTCTGGCCCCATCTTGGGGGACCTTCCATCCCCCCCACTTGGGCCCCCATTTTGGCCTGTGGCTAGGTCCCCAGCCTGGCAGCGGGGAGCGGGGGCCGTGGTGGCTGGGGCTTGCGGCAATTACGGAGCCCAGCGGGTTTGGAAACCCCGGATTCATCACATTCCTCTGGTTGCAGCAACAGGGCTGGAAACCTCCCTGTGCAACCCGGCCTCCCTCCCTCCCTCCCCGGCCGGTCCCCAGGGCCTCTCGGGCAGCCTGTTAACCCCTCCGCTGCCAGGCTCTTCTGTGGGGGGGGCCAGGAACAACGAGACCCCCTGAGGCATCTCGGGGCTCCCAGGGGCTCATGTCTGGTGGCGGCGGAGCCGCTGCGAGCCCTGGAAGCATAGGCAGCGCCTGAGGGGTTAACTTCCACTGTACCCCAACTGGGCTCTTAATAGGGACCTCCTTGCACCCCCACCCACTCCAGGAGCCAAGGGTCCAGCCCCACCAGGCTCCCCTCGCACAAATGCTCCTTGCTTTCAAGCGCTCCAGGCTGGGCAGCCTCCACGCATCGTGTACAAGTGCCTCTTTGGGGGCAGGCAGGCCCCCCTGCCCCGTTCACGCCCTCCAGCCCCGCGCTGCCTTCCCAGAAAGATGTTGAGTCAGAGCAAGTCGCGGGGAGGCCGCAAGCAGCTGCCGGCCCAGGCGGCAAGTGAGTCAGCACGCCACGCCGCGCCGCGTACAGTGCTCGCCTCCCGCCCCGGTACAGTACGGAGCTGGCTCGCGGGAAGCCCGGCGTTGCTCCAGGCTGCAACCGGGACGCGGGTTCACAAGCTAGCAAATGTCAAGGCGCTGGCTGCTTCCTCCTTGGCCAGGCTGGGCAGGGGGAGCACAGGCTGCGAGCCTCCCTGGGGCTCTCGGAGGACTCCGGTTCCCTCCACCCTTGGGGGTGGTGATGGGGGCCAGGGAATAATACCACCGGGGAAGCCCCGGTCTTGATGGGTGGCACTTAGGTCTGGTTTTATTCTTTACTACAAGGGCTGAGACTCTTCTATGTGCCCCATGGATGCACCGGGGCCTGCTCTGCTCCGTTCGCTCTCAGCCCCTCGGCAGCTCTGGGGTTACCCCCGTGCGGGCAGGGATGGGGCAAGGCCAGTGTGGAGCAGGGAGCTCCTCCCGGGTGAACCGGGTCTGCCGATCTGACTGCATTCCTGGGCCCCGGATCCAGAACAGCCTGCTTGCTGCCTCTGCAGCCGGGGCCCGGAGGGTCGCGAGAGACCGAGCCCTGGGGAGAGAGATCCTGATGAACCGGATCGCGGGCGCAGCTCTGCTAGGGGTTGTCCCTGCTTGAGCTGCAGCATGACGGTGCCCGGCGGCATTTGCCCCCTCACTTGTGCTTTGCGCTTTTAAGCTCTCTAATGCGCCATAAATGCTCTGTCTCCCCACACCCAGTGCCCTGGCACATGCTCCAGCAGTCCTGACTGCCTCCAGCAGAGGACAGCAGCATGTCCATCTGCAAACCAACCCATTGTCTCTATTGTTATCACTGCCCGCCCTGGGGGGGCCCACGGGAACGTGCTGCCCAGATGGCACCAGACGCAGCCAAGGATTTCCTGGCCCCGGCCCTGCACTCGGAGCACGTGGCGCTGGGATGCCCCCCAGGCCGGGGCAGCAGGGAGGGGCAGGGTGCTGGAGCACGTGTTTTGATCTCTTCCAGTGACCGATGAGATCCAGGCTCTCTTTGTGGCCAGCGCAACTTGCTTTTCCTTGGAGCAGGGGTGTGGATCCCGGCACCACCGCCAGATGCTGACGCGGGTAATTGGATCTGGCTGTCCATGCAGCGTTTCCATCTGGAGACAGGATCTTCTTCTTGCGCTTCCCGTCCTAAATTGCTGCGTCCTTGCGGTGTGCTGTTAAGCAGCTGCTGCTCTCCACCCCAGACCCGGCTGCAACCCTGCGCTGACCCTTACACTATTCCTACACGATTCACGTCCCCGTACCCTCCGGCCGGGGTGTGGTGAGGCCCATCTGGTTAATGTTTGCAGTGCAGAGCATGATTGTATTGAGGGCCGGAGAGGGGCTGGACCCTTTCAGACCTATTTTCATGGTCAAGGGGGTGAGTGGGACCCCTCAGAAAAGGGGCAGTGAGGGCTGACATAGCTTTGTTCAGTTTTTGAGCTCTGGTTTCATCAGGGCAGCTTGAGCCGGACTGGAGACTGGCAGAAACTCGCACAACTGGGGTTCTCAGCTGATTTCCTGGGTGATCTGGGATGCCTGTGTGTGCCTCTTTTTCTGAGAATAAAGAAACTGGCTTTCCTTTGTAAGGACGCGTCTATGCCGTGGAGGTGCTCTGGAGGAACGGCGGAATCGGCGCGACGCTGCGTCTGGAACGATGCATCTCCCCCGAGGTTGTGGTCCGACCCCCTTTCCCTTTTCATACCCCAAGCAACTCCCCTTCCATCATCCCAGTTCCTCCTATGGGTCCTTTCAGAGCTCAGCCACCAAGAGTTGCATTCAAGGCGCACGGCCCCGAAAAGCTGCTTTCGGCTCCTTGTGTCCCATGGATCCACTCTTTGCCATCTGCGTTTGATCGAGACTCTGGACTGCCGGGGCAGAGTGCGTGAAGCCGAGCAGAAAGCTGTTGCTCGTGGTACGAGCAAAAGAGGAAGAAGCAGCTTGTGGCTGGGGCTGAGGACCTGGTAGATCCGGATCCAGCTCCAGACTCCTGTGCAGACCCCGCGAGCGGCATCGCTTGAGCTGTGCCACGCTTCCCGGGTTGCAGAGCAGAGCAGAGCAGAGCTCCCTTTGGGCGCTTGTACACGTGACGAATTCGATGTTGCAGGACGGGGCCTCTAGGAAAGCAGTCAGGGCTGTCCTGGAGGATAATGCAACGAGTAGGATCGAGAGCCTTGGAGAAAGAGGAACCCTCCAGCATCAGAGCCCCCCCTGCGGCGACAGGCCCCGAGCCTGATTTGCCGTACGAAGCTCAACCCCCGGTTGCAGACCTAGGATCTGTCTTTTCTCAGCCGACGGTGCTGTAGACGCGGGAAGAGCCCAGAAGGATTTTCTCTCTTGAGTTCGGTGTCGGAGGCTGCGCTGGCGGGGCGGGGGGTGGGGGGAGACTGCATGCACTTTGCCTTTAACAGGCTGCGGGCCAAGGCTCCCAGCTCGCAGGCATATATGCATTGGCAGTGTAACAATATCTCCACGTGATTGCAATGAAAGGCTTCGCAGAGAGGGAGGGAGGCAGGCAGGCAGGCGAGGAAGGCGCTCACAAAGGCTCCCAAGCGCCTCTAGGCACTCGCCCCGAGCCGGCACCAGCTGGGATGTGAGGCTGCCCCCAGGGGTGCGGGGTCCCGGCTCGCTCGCCTCGCCTGCTCCCGGCCCCGCCAGGTCCAGGGGAAACCTGCCCAACATGCCCGAGCAGATCAGCGTGTCGGAGTTTCTGGCCGTGACTGCCGAGGACCTCAGCTCCCCGGCCGCCTCGGCCTTCACCTCCAAGATGCAGAAGTGCCGGGGAGCTGCCAGTGCCCTGGAAGAGGTGAGTCGAGGCGGGCAGGGCTGGCTGGGGGGGCCCTGCCTCTCAGCTGGGAAGCCAAACCCCCAGGAGCGGGCGTCCTTTTGTTTCCTGGGAGGTCTCTTCTTTCCTTGAAGTTTTCCCCCCAAATCAGGGTTGATGTCTACGCTGTCTTTGAGACCCGCACAAACCTGCCAGGAGACCCTCCAGCCAAGGGAGTTACCTGCCTCTCTCCCCCTGGGCTCACTGCCCTTCTTGCTGCGTTGGAAAGCAAGGCTGGCTCGAGCCCCCTGAAGAGGTTAGGAAGGCAGAAGCTTTGCCAGGGACGTTGCGGGCTGCATGCATCCTCTCTGCTGGGATGGGAGCCTTGATTCGGGAGCATGAATCCACCGGGGCCACTTGCTCACTCTCTTGCTCTCTGGTTCTGGACCTTCAGGCCCCTCCATGGGAAAGGCGGGATGCTCACTTTCTAGCAACACCTACCAGGGCCCCAATCCTGCAGAAGCCCATGCACTCGCTTACCCTCGAAGCACGGGATTAACCGTGCTGGCTGCAGCCAGGGGGTTTCCAGCCTGATAGCGTTTGCAAAGGGGAACCATGGAGAGATGAGAACCGCTTTTGTATATAGACGGTTTCACTTCCAAGTCCACAGGGCTGTGAGGTAGAGCTGGTTCCTGCCCCTTGGCCTGGCCGGCATGGACTTTCCCTCCTCGCTTTGAAAGGAAAATAAGTTGGGGAGAAGTTTCTGGTGCTGGCGGAGCTGGTTTGTCCCGAATCGTGCCCCCAGAGCCGAATTTGAGTGGTTCTTGGTGGTTGGTGCTAAGTCCATATGGGCCTTGGCCCTGCCGGGATCTGCAGAGACCAGCTCAGCTCTGCAGAGCGCTGCCCTGTTCGTCTGTCCGCAGCGGGGATGTCCACATGAGCCTGACTCCACGGGGCGAGAATGGATGCCCTTGGCTGGAGGTGGATCCCAGAACTGGATCCGTGCGAGGCTTATGCTGTGCCAGTCCGGCTGTACCGAGCAGTTCTTGCCCTTGAACCCCTCGCCCTGCTGCCTGCAAAGCTCAGGCTGTGAAGCCAGCCCCGTGACGGAGATGTGCCACTGCAAACGGGACTTTTTTGGGGGCGGTTTGCACCACGCTGGCTAGGCAGGGAGTTAGTGCTGGGACTGGGACTGGTCCTGTCCAAGGAAAGGCAGCCTGAGCATTTCTGTGCTCTTGGCTATATGGCCTTTTTAATAGCTGAGTTACACAGCCCTGCCTCTTATACAGCTGACTTAGTGCCTGGGTCGTAGTGTGGAGCGGGGACCCAGCTGGCAGAGAGTAGAAGAAACATCACAGAAGCTAGCAAGGAGGTGGGCACATGGTTTGGGCCGGCTAGGAGGCACCCGGGCACTTGACAGGCATCTCCGTGTGAACGGGAACAACCTTGCTCCTGCCTATAGTGCCTTTCATCAGAGGTCCCCAAAGTGCTGCATAGTCTTTGCTGCCGTGGTGGGGTGTGTACGGGCTTGTTTGTGAGCTGCCAGCTGGTGCGGAGACCTTCTCTGGCTGGGTTGCGCAGGGGAGGGCTGAGGGTGCCTCTCTGGTGTTTCCCAGGCATCCCCGAGGCCCTGTAGGGTAGAAAATGCCCCATCCTTGCATTGGAGTGGTACTAGCGCTGCTCCCAGGTCCCTGGGCGTGGGCCAGAAAGGGACCACACGGCATTTTTCAGCATGCAGAGGGAGCCCGAGTGGGTACAGTTTGCCCCAGCGGGCTGTCGTGCCCTGAGCGTCCTCGGTGTTACAGCAAAGCAAACTCAGGCAATGGGTGTGCTGGGCCTGCGCCTGGAAAAGATCTGCTCTCTGGCCTACGTGGCTGGATACTCTGTCTTTACAATGCGACCACCTCTGGGGTGGAACATGCGTAACCATTCACGGGAACAGCCAGGAGGAAAAGTGACCAAATTAAGCTATTGGAAATGTGGGCAAGACCTTGGCCTTAAAATCCCCCTGGTCTGTCAAGCAACACCCCCGTCCCTACAACTGCCGGCGTAAAACGGACAGCAGATGATTTGTGATGAGGGGAATATGGGAACTGGCACCAATTTTGAATGCAAATCACGCACACGCCTGGAGCCAGAAGCCCCGCGGCTCTTTGCAAGAATCCCGGCCTCCGTCCCAGCCCGCGGCCAGGGATCAGCAGCTCTGTGTTTCGTGGAGGATGGATCCAGGGGCTGCTTCCAGCTGACTCCTTGCTGGGCTCTGACGAGCCCCAAGCCCGGTGCCATCCAGGGAAGGCTCTCGAGGTCCTGTCCCCTCCGCACCTCCTTGCCCTCCGCTCCTCAGGGGCTGCATCAGGCTGCATCTCTTTTTCGGCTCCTACAAGATGAGCTTCCCCTCCCTCCGGGATTTAACCTCGTGTCTTGCGGACTGGAGCGAAGGAAGCCCAAGCCCCCAGGCTGTTGCAGCAAGAGTGGGCAGGAAGCGCGTGTGTCATCCAGGGGCAGAAGTGATCTGGCCTCTCCTCCCCAGAGTGGGTTCAGGCATTGGGGTGAGACAGTTGTGCCCCCAAAAGACCTGTCTCCAGCCTCCGTGTTGGGGAGCAAAGGCAGTGTCGTAGGATGCCAGGCGGTTTGGGAGGACTGGGTGGGTGAGCGAGGGAAAACCAAGGCCAGTGACCAGCTGCCCAATGGCAATTCCTGGCAGGGTCCTAACCCGGGCTCCCTACGCACGGGGTCTCGGCACAGCCACCGTGCTGCCTGCCATCCCTGCCCGTGCTGCCCGGTAGATGCCCCCGGTGCAGCTGCATTGGCAAAGTCGCGCTTCTTTGGGGACTGCTCGTTACACTTGTGTTTTCGGGCCCGGAGGAAAGATCAGCTGAGCTGGAACGGACGTGCCCGGGTTGGGAGCGAGCTGCCAACCTAATGGGCAGGTAAAGCACCCTGGACATGGACCGAGACCAAGCAGTGGCAGAAGCAGGTTCCCTATGAAGAGCAACAGGAAACGCTTATTCCTCTGAAACACGCCGCCCGGGGCCTGCCACCCGCACGTCGAGGCGGTTGAAGATCTGCTGTTTCGAGAGCCGCGTCTCCTCCAGCAGTGGAAAAAGCAGTGGAAATCTTTCGGGGGGGGAAACAGGCTCTTTCGTTCCAGCCTCCTGGAACCGGTTGGCCTCGCTGCTCCGCTCCCGACGCTCGGGGCATTGCAGCGGCGTGACTCAAAGGAGGAAAATGAAATGTTTTCACTGGAAAAGGCGACGGGAAGTTCTCCAGTCGCTGCGTTCCCATGAAGCATTTCTGAGATGCGCAGGCATTTGTTTCTGGCCTGCTCCGTGGATGACGAGTAGAAAGGGTGGCGCGTGGCTGCGGGGACACGTTCGCTTCGCCGCTGCTGGGTGGATGGAGCCCTTGTTTTGGGGCCAGCCACGGCCCTGCGGTGTTCATGGGGATCGGGTTGAAGGCCTGAACGCTGGCCCCCTGCCCCTTCAAGTGCAGGGGCACGCACACTCAGAGTACCCCCAGCCCGGGCTGTGACCCACCTTCAGCCTGCTGGCTTTGTCCTAGGTGTCAACCCGCCTTTCTCGAGCCTCCTTGACCACTGCCCGTCTGCTTGGCTCGGGGCGAGATGCCCCCATTGAGCCAAGTGGACGGGGTCTGTGTGCTGCCCTCGCCGCCAGGAGCTTTGGCTGGCATCGAGGCCACAGCGTGAAGAGCACAGCAGGCCCTGCCTGAGGAGCGAGCAAGGCAAACTGGTCCATTCTCCCCATTTCCCAGGTGGGGAAACTGAGGCACCGGCAGCAAGCAACCGGCCCGGCCCCCTGCCAGGAGTTTCTGGCAGGGCTGGGTCTTGAAGCCCTCACTGCAGAGTCTGTGTTTCCCCCCTCTGTCTCCTCGGAGGGGTTTTTTGCTGAAAGCCCCTCTGCTCTGGTGTAGAAAGCTCAGCCTCAGGGGTTGTCTCCGCCGCCCCTTGCAGCACGAGGGACCTCCCCGGCCTGCTCCAAGTCTGCGCTACCCCTCCCCGCTCTTGGCCCTCCCCTCCTCTCGGCTCCCCGTCCTCCCCGTCGGGTTGTGTTACCGAATAAACAGAGCTGGAGTTGGAAGGAAACCCCAAACACCCGGCCAGCGCAGTGGGGCTGGTCGGCATCTGGCTGACTCCTGGAGGGGGGCCTGGCCTGGGGTCCGGCCTTTCCTCCGCGGGGGCTGAGTGCAGCTATCCCAGGGCCAGGCTGGCTCGGAGGACCTCAGCACCTGGGACGCGGGGCTCTTTTAGCCACGGCACCGGCTGCAATGCAGGCCCTGAAGATGGGGAGCTGGGGGCTGCGTGTGCTGGGTCCTTCCCAGGACTTGCAGCCCCTGGGCAGGGAAGCCTTCATCCAGTCGTTCAGTGCCAGGGCCCATTCGCTTCGTTCCCATCCCGGGTCCCCTTCCCCGTGCTGCCGGCTGCTCGGGGCAGGGTGGCTATGGGGCTGGTTTTAAGGAAGAGCCGTGAAAACGTGCAATGCAGCTGCCCCAGGTCTTGGGTGAGTGCAGGAGTGCTACCCGTAGTGGGAAGGGTGAGGGGACCCTGGCCTGAGCAAGTGGTCTCTGGAACAAGGGCAGGTGCGACCCCACTGACGTCTGACCCGGTCCCCCAGCTCCAGGCCGGAGTCCAAAGGACCGGGCCGTGTTTGCCCTGGGTAAAGCTGGAGTTCGTCTGGTGCCGGGTGCTGCACGTGCCTGGAGTGACATAGCCCCTGCCCAGAGGGATTGGTCCGACTGAGGGCATCTGTAACCAGGTGAACTGAGATTTGGGCTGGTCAGGTGATTTTCCAGAGGCCAGGCCATGCATCAGTGGCAGAGCTGGGAATCGTGCCTACATTTCCGGAGTCCCGGGCACCTGTTCCTCTTCGCTTGGTCTCTCTCTCTTCCCTGTCCCACAAAGGCACCACCTCCTGCCACCTCCTTTGGGCCCAGAGCATGCTCTCGGGGAGCTGCTTCAGACTGGCAGCTGCCTCCTGGGACCACCATCCAGCCCCTTTCCTCCGCCTCGATTGCAGCATCCCGTGGCCTTGTCTCTCGGCCTTCATTTGCTGCTGCTCGTTGAGGTTTCCCTCTGCAGCCCAGCACTGCTGCCCGTTGGCTGTGCCTGGGCCGTACCAGCTGACTCCTTCCCGGAGCGGCTGGTGTAAAGAAGGACTCCCATTGATCATTCACGCCGCGGAGGGGGAGAGAGGAGAGTTCAGAGTAGAAGCCCCCATCTGCAAGGCTCGGGGCTGAAATGCCATTAGCAGTGAAGTGCTCTGGATCAAATCCATTTGCTGTTGGGGTCCCTGGGTGGTCGCTGTGCCCGTCTGCAGGTGCAGACATCTCCTGACATGCTTTTCCTTCCAGAAAGACGCGTCTATAGGGGACCTCTGCCTCTACCGAGCTGGTCTCTGCTGGAGAAGGGAGGCTCGCCTCGGGCCTGCCAGATGCAAGGGAAGGAGGGGGCTTCCAGCCCTGGCAGGTGCCCGCTCTTGCTTCTGACCTGAGCAGCTCAGCAGGAGGTCAGACCTTCGTTGCCACAACGCTGGCTTGATCCGTGGAAAGGATCCCCCTCTCCTCTGCAGCATCTCTTTGAAAAGATCAAATGTTTTTGTTCAAGCGCCGGATTTGCCCTGGGAATGAATCCAGAGCCTGTGCCCATGCAATGGGAGTGTCCCGGTGTGACTGAGTCTGGCACTTGCAGTGGCCGCATGCCCGTCTGCAGGGTCTCGGGGGCGGGGGTCTCTCAGTGCTTCAAGAGCCTGCATGGGATCTCCATGATGGATCCTGCACCCATATCCAAGGGGCTGTGCCCAGCACAGCTGCCCTGGTGCCGGGTGTGCTGGGCTAGCGGATGTGTTGTAGCCCCAGGTTGGTCTGTTGATGCTCAGGACTAGGTAAAGCTGGATGCTGCCAGCGCCCCTCCATGTTGACTGTTTCAGTTCCTACCCGTCATTCAGAGAGCGGAAGCACATGCATGCACGTGTGTGTGTGCATGCACGTGTGTGTGTATGTACAGTTGCCCCCTGCTAGCAGACGCTGGTGTGAAGTTGCAGCAGCACCAGCTGGCAAGCAAAGGGCTGTGGGGAGAGAGCCGGGCCGTGCATCCATCACCTGGGTTGGGAACTGCCCTGAGCGTGGGCACTGATGTCTCTCTTCCTGCCCTGGGGAGGTTTTCGGAGGCTCCCCCACAGCCAGACCAGGTCCTCGTGGCACAAACTTCCAGCTGCAGGTGTTGAACTCGGTGCTGCGTATCTGGGTTGACATGGGGCATAGGGCTGACCAGACCACGGCAGGCAGGGCTTCTCGACGTGGCTAATAAAGTCCGTGGACTGATTGCCCAGCCCTGTCGATATGTGCTGGCGTTGCTGGTGGGTGCACGGCCTCCGGGCCTGGCTGCCTTGTGCTCTTGGGACCCTGGTGGTCTCGAATCGGCTCCTGGCTCTGCTGTGACCCTTGTGCAAGTCCCTGCCCACGTGCCTCAGTTTCTCTGTGGCCATTTCGAAGGGGCAGTGAGTTGTTTGGAGAGTGGCGCTAGCGGGGGGCACGGCTCCCATGTGTGACCCGAGCCGGGCTGAGGGCACAGGCTGCTTGGCACTGCCAGGCCCAGCCCCCCCCCCATGGCTGGGAGCCCTCCAACAACTCTCTCCAACCCCTGGCTGCGCTGGCAGCTGCCCTGCACATCTGCATGGGCTGGTGGCGGGCATTCAAAGGGGCTCTGTGTGGCCAGCTGGGCTTGGGCCAGGCGAGGGGGGTGCGGGGAGGATCTCCACCGTGCCCAGCAAGTCTGACAGTCTTTTGTGCTTGCAGAGCCTGGAGGGGGACCACGCCGTTCTCCAGAGGATCAGGAAGTACGTGAAAGCGATCCACGGCTCCGGGCTCAGTAAGTTACGCTGCCAGATGCTTCGGCAGGCCCCGTGACGGAGGGAGGCCTGTATCGCTGATACCCCTGTATCGCTGCCCCTAACCCTACCTGATTGGGGGGAGAGATGGGTCTTTCACCTCTGCTCATCTTCCTCTTAATTCCCCAGTTAATCTCACTTTTATTATTAGCATCCATCCACCATGCTTGTCTCCACCGTGCTGATGGCAGGAGGGGGCCTAGGTCATTGCTGCAAGCAGATGGAGCTGAACCCCGGGCAATGGGCTTGTGGGGCATGCAAGGGGCAGGATCGGGGTGGGGCTGACCCACAAAACAGGCCCAGACTTTGGGGTTGGAAGGGGTCCGGCCAGGTCCCCCTCTCTCCCCAGCAGCCGTCAGAGCGACCCGGTGCAGCGAGGCCTCGGAGAAGGGAGGGACCTGCCGGGAGAGGAGCTGGGCTCCGGGCAGCAGCAATGGCCTTTGGACCTTGACGCTGGTGACTGTTGTGCTGAGCAGCTCTGGATTTCCCTGTGCTGCGCTGGCTTGTCCCTGCCCGGTTCCTGCTCCTGGCAGATCCCCTCCCAAGCAAACCCGTGCCCTGCCCTGGGCTCTTCAAGCTGCGCGCTCTCCAGGGAGGGATTGTTGGCTTCCCTCTCTGTCTCCCCTGGTCTGCCTCTAAGGACCAGGTCATCAGCAGCAATTCACTGGGGCTCCTGGGAAAGGTCCCATGGGGGTGGCTGGCACTTGCATGCTTTTGAAGTGATGGATGAGCGCAGGACCGAGCCCAGACCCCTGAAGCATCTGTCCTAACCACTGAGCCGCCCTTCCTTTCCCCCCTGGTTGATGTGAGTGGTGTGGCCCTTCTCCCGGCATGCTGGGATGAGGCAAGGGCGTTATTAGGGGCATCAGGGGTGGCATGGATCTAATCCAGGACTGCAAGCAATGCCCTATTCCTTTAAATAGGCCAGTAGTCCCACGTGCAAGTCCACCCCGGGGCAGTGTGAATGACTCCAGAGCCAGGTCTGTCTCCTCCCAGCAAGCGGCGCTGCGGGAAGTGGCAGGAGGGCCGGCTGGGTCGGCGTTCGGCGCCGTTGCAGCCGTCACAATAGACGGCAGTGCCGGGAGCCAAGAGCGATTTCAGCAAGGGCAAGAAGTGGCCAGTCAGTGCTACGAGTGGCACAGGCAGCCTCTGCGTGGCACAGGGCAGACTGGGGAGGGGACAAGCAGCACGGTGGTAAAGAGGGCAGGGAGCGGAAAGCAGAGCAGTAGACAGGGCAGGGAGCAGAAAGCAGAGCAGCTGATTGGGCAGAGGAAGGGGATCGGAGCGGCACTCCTGAAAGGGTGCAGGATTAATTTGTGGCACGCCTGCCCACAAGGTTGGCCCCCGCTGAGCAGAGGAGAGGCTGCTCCCTGCCGTGCCCACCCCCCCTGGATGGAGGAGGGCCCCAGCCGGTGGGCATCTTGCCGCAAGAGGCGTCTCCACCGGCCCCCCGCCCTCAGCACCGCCGCGTCTCCTGTCCCCCGCAGCGCACGTGGAGAACGAGGAGCAGTACAGCGAGGCCCTGGAGAACTTCGGCAATAACCACCTGGCCCAGAACAACCACGAGCTCTCCACGGGCTTCCTGAACCTGGCCGTGTTCACCCGGGAGGTGACGGCGCTCTTCAAGAACCTGGTGAGTGTGGGCGGGGTGTAGACATGACCTCTGCCTCTTGCAGGTGGCCCGTCTACACTCCCGGACCAGCATCGACGTGGCCTTCCTAGGAGCCTACAGGGAAGGGAGGCGGTGGGGCTGGGGGTCACCTTGAGAAGCGGGTAGGAGCAGGCATGGTGGGAGGGCTGGGCTGCCTCTTTTGCAGTCTCCCTCCCCATGTCTTCTCTTGGTCCCAGTGCTGGGCTGCATCTGTCCTGCCCGGCAGACCTGTCAGGGTGGGATCCCCTGCAGCAAACCCTGCCAGGCTGTGGCTGAGCGGGGAAAGGCAAATAACAAAGTGCCGACCGGAACGAAGTCACCGGCTCTAAATCTTTCGTGGTCCAGCCACGCTGCCAGCCTCCCGTGCGTGGTCAGGGGAGACCTCCCAGCCGATTCGGAGATCCACAAAGGTCGCAGAGCTGATGGCTGGGGCTGCTCCCTCGCTTGCTAAATTGAGCAGGTCTTCGCCCAGCGGAGCCCACCAGAGCAGCTCCAGGCCAAGCAACGCATCTCTTCAAAGCGCGCCTGCCTCGGCCAGCTGCAGAAGAGCCAGTGCAATACTGGCATCTCCCTTCCGTTCTCCACTGGGGGCTTGTTTCTGACACTGGGTGGGACCCGCACATGGTGTATGCACGTCCCCCGTCCCTTGGCGCTCTCACCTTGTTGGCCAAGAAGTGGATTGAAGCCATGCGGAGAAACGTACAGCAAGGCTCCTGCGAAGGCCCACGGGGCAGGGCATGGTGGGGGGCATGTGACAGAGCAGCAGCCTGATAAAAGCCAGGAGCGAGCATTTCCTTGACATCTCTTGTTTGAAAGCAGCAAGGCACTGCTCAAGGGGCCGAATGACCCTGAGAGCTGGTTCCCTGGAGGCATTTGGGTCATTGCGGTATAGGAATAGGGTGCTGAGAAGGGGCTTGGGAGCAAGAGCCCACGCTCTGGGGCCTTGGAGACTGCCAAGCCCTTGGGAACCATCAACCCTAAAGCCCTTGGGAACGTCACCCTGCAGCCTGCGCAGCCCTACGTCGAGCGGGTACTTGCTCTGGGCGCAGGGGGCAGATCAGCGATGTTTGCCCCGGGTCTGCTCAGCAGAAGGCTGCTTCGGTGGCTCCTCCTTGTTCTCTCCGTGTCACCCCAAGGAAATTCCCAGCCCCGAGCTCTCTGGAGCTGTCTGCGAAAAGGAGTCGAGCCAGTTCCTCCGGTTCCCGTGCTCTCTTCTCTGCGGTGCCGGCGCAGGTCTCCCCGTTCACGCACATGCCTGTACATGCCCTGCACACGCCCTGGTGCAGCTGTCGGCATGCACGCACGTCAGGGGCGTGAACCCTGCAGACGGTGGAAACCTTTTCATTGCTTCTCCCCCGAGGGCGGCTTCTCCGGGCAGGGTTTTCTGGCCTGCTTTGTAAGCGGGTGCCTGACGAGGGCAAAGGCTGGCTGCAGTTTGCTCCTGGTATTCGCAGGGGACCTCCGTCCCAGTGTACTCCTCTATCAGGGCAAGGCAGCTGCTGGCTCTCACTGTCCATTGCAGGAGGCCAAGGTGGCACAGACACTTCAGGAGCACACAGCCCACCTAGACTGTGCGTCCAGCCCCTTCTGCATGAGCGCAGACCTTGCCTCCCTGGGCCCCTGCCAGCGCCCTGCTGCAGAGCTGTGCCAGGGGAGCCCTCCTCGCCGCAGCGCTCTGCAACCCGGGCACGGCGTGTGCCTGCGGGGCAGCTCCTGGCTCCAGTGACCGCAGTGATTCGAAATGGTTCTCGTCCCGTCCTGCCTGGCCACCCAGGGGGGAAACCCAGAGCGGGGCCAGCTGTTCTGCCTCCGTGTGCCAGCTGCTTGGGGCAGAGCTGCCAACGTGGGCAGAGAGCCTGGGGTTCCTCCTGCGGGGGCGGGGATGCCGGGATGCCCTTGCAAGCACACGCATCCCTTTGCAGGAGGCGAGGACAGGGGGATTGCTGGCAGGGCCAGGCTGGGGCTCCCCATCTGCACCCACCTGGACCCCACCGCGGTGATCTGTAGCCCCCTTTGCTCTTCCCAGCCAGGGTCAAGGGTTGGGGTGGAGGAGGGGGAAGGGGCGGCTTAAGGCCTGAGCCCAGGGAGTGGTGGCATTGCCAGGGCTACGGCAGGGGTTTGGAAGCACTGCCCTGCAAAGGGTTAAGCATGTGTGCACCAGGCTAGCTCTGGCCACCCAGGGGGGCTGGCCTGGGTTCAATCCCCTCAGGCAAGTGGGGGCTGACAACGTGCAGGACGGAGCTCACGCCCTTGCTGGCATGGCTGGACCACAAACCACATCAGTGCTTGGCCTGCTCAAGCCCTGCTCTGTTCCCCGCCTGCGATCAAAAGCAAGTCTCCGGCATCGGAGCGCGCTACAAAGCGCGGCCAGAGACTCGTGAGATCGAGAGCAGCTGGGAGAACACCACCAGCGCAAGTTGCACCGGGTTAGGTTTCATCTCTCCCAGGGCAGACACCCCTGCCTCCTAGCCTCCTTGGGCCCCTGCGAAGGCCCACGGGGCAGGGCATGGTGGGGGGCATGTGGCAGAACAGCAGCCTGATAAAAGCCAGGAGTGAGCATTTCCTTGGCATCTCTTGTTTGAAAGCAGCAGGGCACTGCTCAAGGGGCCGAATGACCCTGAGAGCTGGTTCCCTGGAGGCATTTGGGGGCTGCACGCGGCCCGTGGCATTCTCCCCAGCTCGAGTTCCCACTGCAGCTCCCTTGTTGACCAGCCAGTCCTGACAGCTGGAGCACACGAGGATGCCTAGTGCAAGGAAACCCAGGGTCTCGGGGTGGAGCCATGCTGGGTGGCATGAGGGGCTAGGGGCTGCCTCTGCCACTGGAAACCAGCCCTGGTATCTGGCTTTTCTAGGTGCAGAACCTGAACAACATCATCTCCTTCCCTCTGGACAGCCTGCTGAAGGGGCAGCTGAAAGACGGCCGGCTGGTGAGTGTGTGGCAAGCTCGCTGTGGGCTCGGAGGCTGGAAGGGGACTTACTTAGGCAGGTTTTGGTCCGTTTTGCCGTGTCCTTTGCTGGGGGTGAAGGTGGGCCCTGCTGTCCACAGCAGGTGCTTCCACGAGGTCCCTTCTCCATCCCAGTGTGAGACCTGCAGGCCTGCCCTGTGTCTTGGAGGGTGTCTCTTCACGCATCGCTTGGCTGCGCTGCTAGCAGCAAACCCACGCGCCAGCACGCCACCGTCCGTCCCCTCCCCAAAGGCTGCGAGTCCCAGCCAGGATGCTTACCCGCCCAGCTGTGTCATTGCAGGCAGCCCAGGAAAGAGGCACACGACAATTTAAGCTACAGGGACTCTCCCAGACCGGACTCCGCGCTGTTAGGTGTATCATCTGCATTGCAGCAATGCCTGGTTGTCCTGCTTCAGCTCCAGGCCCCACTGTGCTAGGCGCTGTACAGAGCGGGAGAAAGGCAACCCCTCCCCCAAAGGCCAGTGGAGAAGACAAACAGGAAAGACTGATGCCCATTTTATAGAGTGGGAAACTGAGGCACAGAGCCATTAAGTGACATGTCCACAATGGGAGGTATCCATGGCAGAGCTGGGCTGTTGGTCCGGTGCCTTTATGAAGCAGCAGTGCTGGGCTTCGGTCCAGGGACCCGTAGGCAGCAAGGGGGCTTGTCCTTTGCCCTCTGCCCAGCTGGCACAAGCTCCTGGGCAAGAGCAAGCCCTGCGCAGTGGGGTCATGACAGTCCCCGGGGCTGGCTCAGGGCTTCTATGGCAAAGGCAGATCTGAGCCATGCCCCGAGCCCGCGACAGGCAGAGGCGACGGCCTCTCGCTCACCGCGGCCGCTCTCTCTGCCCCGCAGGACTCCAAGAAGCAGATCGAGCGCGCCTGGAAGGATTACGAGACCAAAGTGTAAGTCGCCCGCGGCCACTAATCCCCCTTCTCCCAAACAACAGGGCTTTATGTGGGGGCTCCCGCCAGCCTGCTGGCTTCCCGGCTGCCCCTAGCACTGTCCCCCGGCCAGCGGGGCCCCATAGCAGTGCTGTTGAAACACTAATAGGACCCTGGGGTGCCCTGCTACCCTGCTCTGGGAGGGGGGTTCAGCTGTTCCCATCTAGCTGTTCCTAGGTGTTAGCTGTGCACCCCGCCAGCATTGCTGGAGGCAGGCCTCTCCCAGGCCCTGGGGCTGGAGCCGTTCTCAATAGCACCCACGGCCGGCCTGTCTCCCCAGAGCAAAGCTGGAGAAGGAGAAGGAGCGAACGCGGATCGCGGGCGTCATCCAGACCGAGCTGTCGGCCGTGGAGATCACCGAGGACACGCAGAAGGAGCGCCGCCTGTTCCAGCTGCACATGTGCGAGGTGCGTGTCCCGGCTCCAGCCTGGGGTCCCCCAACCATCCCCTCCCCACCACGAAGGGATGGAGCCAGCGGAGGCAGAGGGGGAGACATGCCCAAGGTCCTATGGAGAATCTGTGTCAGAGCCAGGTATTGAACTTGCATCTTAAAGCCTGCAAGGCATGGCCAGCCTTCCTGACCCCTCTCTAGGGCTCTGCCAGCTGAAGTCCAGCCCTGCCTGACTTGACGTAGCTGCCATGCAAAGCTTGTATGCTCAGGGCATCACGCCCCAGGCTTTGAGCTAAGCCTCCTTGAGACAGGCTAGTAGCCACTGTTGCATCCAAGAGGCGCTATGACTGTGAGCAGCTGCTCAGGGCTAGCCATGTGTAGCAGCGCTGCTTGCCACGATGAGCACACGTGTGCCATTGGGCAGGCAGATCTGTGTCTTCTCTTCCTTCTTGCTCCACTCACCCCATTAGAAGAAGCCTGTAGGGCTGCAGGGAGCCCTTCTCCACCCAGGGGAACCCCATTCAGAGTCGCCGTGCCATGCCACGGCTTGAAGTGTGCTGGAGGAGACCCCCCAGTGACACGACACCGAGCCCTTGGCAGGCTGGAGGTGCCCGTCCGGCTGGGCTGGCATGCAGGGGAGGACTGGCTGAGTTGCTCGGAGCCGGGCAGGGAGGAGGAGGGTTAAGGCGTAGTGGAGCCGACAGCCGCTTTGCAGCCTTGTTGTGGTTTGGGGCTCCGGCCAGGAGCCAGGCAGTGAGTCATGCCTTTGAATAGCTTCACTGTTAAATAAATAACAGCACATGGAAGCACTCGGCGCAGCGCCGGGGAGGGGCTCTGCGCGCTGCAAGCAGAGCGGAGAGGTGTGGACAGGACCTTGCAGTCTCTTCCAGGCCCCGGTCTGGATTGTGCCAAAGGGGTTTCTCCCCTTGTGAGGTCCCTCAGTGCACTTGGGACTTGCAGTTGTCTCTCTGTTGCCCTTGGGATCACCCCCCACCCCCCATCCATGCCAGTCTGGGGAATCCCTCTTCTCTAGGAGCAGTGCAGGGTCTTTGATCCCTGGAGCAGCTGTTCCCATTATCCGGGGCTTTTCCAGCCAGTGATTAATAAGCTGCTGTGCCCAAGTTTCCCAAGCTGCTGCCTGCCCGGGGGTGGGTCAGGATGGCTGGACCCTGTTCCAGCAGGGAGCTGCGTGTCCCCCGACTGCAGCCAGCTCCCCACGGGGTGCTTGTGCCACCGGGGCCCAAGGCAGGCTGCTTTCGGCTGCTGGCTGCTTCTCCAAGCGAGGGCAGGACTGTGACAGCCTGGGGACGCTGGGGTCTGGTCCTGATGGCAGCTGGCTCCTGGCAGGTCTTAGGGCCTGTGCTGGCAGCTGCTGCTGTGTGCATAGACTCCTGCTTGCATGGAGCAATTTATTGAGTTTTGCATGGAGGAGATATGCTCAGAGTGGGGAAACTGAGGCACGGAGAGGTGACGGGACTTGCCAGAGGTCCCCCAGAAAGTCAGTGGCAGAGCTGAGACTAGAACCCCGGCGTGCTTTACAGCTCTGGCCGGGGCACGTTGCACCCCCCGCTTCGCGGCCCTGTTGCTGGGCCTTCCCCACGTCCATCCAGCCGCTGGGTGCGAGAAGCAAAAATATCCTGTCCCTTCCCGGCTGGGAGGCCACGTACAGGGAAAACACAGGGAGTCAGGCAGCCCCCTTGTTCCAACAGACATGGGATCTTCCCAGCTAAATCCTAACCCCCTTCTAGCTGCTGGGGCCAGGGAGACCCCCCAGCCAAACCGCTGCGAGAGCTTGCATTTGGCTTGGACCCGCTACAAGGGAACGGAGGGGGTCGCGGGGGTCAGTTTAGGGTGGACGGAGCTCGCTCGCAGGAGCTAAACCCCTGGTTCAAAGGGTGTGAACGGAGCGGTTCCACCAAACACGGGCGGTCTTGCTGTGCTTGCCTGGGACCGGTTTGGTTGAGGGCCGCTCTGGCGGGTCTCTCGTCTGGTCCCAAGCGAGTTTCTCTCAGCTCAGATCTGGGCCCAATAACTGACTTACCTGGCAGGGGAAATACCCTGACCGGGATGGTGGCAGGGGAAATACTGCGGCCGAGGTAACGCAATTCAAATGGCACCGTGTAGCGGAGGGTCGCACCCTTGCCTGCTTGCAGACAGGACTCCCTACGAGAGCCTCATCGTTAGCTTCCCGCTGGCCAGCTTCCAGCGGGAGGATCTCGGCTCCACGCCGACTTGGTGGAAATGGGAGATTCCTCCCTAGCTTGCTCATGCAGCCGTACGGCTGAGGACACACGAAACTCGGGGGCATCCGAACCCCAAGTCTCCGGACTTGCACGTAGGATGCCTGCCAAAGGATTTGGAAGTATCTTGAAGCCCCAGGCTGGGGTGGAGGATGCTTGCCGGTAGCGGGGCCACTTATGGTTCTTGAATAATTCACATGGATTTGGACCTGCTCTGGTTAATTTGACCTGGGACATGAGAAATTTTCCTTAAAAATAAAATAAAGAAAATTGACCCCAATAGCTCTGCTTTGCACCCAACACCAGGAGCTGAACCTGGGCTCTGCAGCTCCTTGCACATGCTTAAGAGCAGGGCAAAAGGAAGCAAGAAGTCCAGGGTTTCTGCAAAGCCAGGCCTTCCCCCTTGCATGGCCCAATGCTAACAGAGCCCCTGCCCCCAGCCTCCTGACTCTGGTGTGTCCTCTGCGTCTCTAGTACCTGCTGAAAGCCAGCGAGAGCCAGATGAAGCAAGGCCCAGACTTCCTGCAGAGCCTGATCAAGTTTTTCCACGCGCAGCACAAGTAGGTACCACCCGACTCCCCGCAGGAGCTCGCCCCTTCCTGGCACCTGGAGATGTAACTCTGCAGGAGATCTTGCAAAGCAGCGAGTGGCCAGGGTTAGCCTTGCAAAAACCCAGCTGACTTCAGCGGCTGTGAACGTGCAGGACGAGGGTGTAGACCTCTTCATTCCGTATAGACCCCAATTTAGCAAAGCACGGAAGTCCCAAGGGAGCTTGAATATGCGTGTTTGTCGCATATGGGTGAGCTTAAGGAGGTGTGTTGAGTCACAGCAAAGAATATTTAACTAGCAAGATATCCGGGAAGCGGACACTTTGCTCAGTGTCACAGATCCATTACTGAACCAGTCTCTCTCTGCAGCAATACAGCACCCTGCAAGTTGCAATAGTGTGTATTTTTTCCCCTATGCGGTGCATTGGTTCCTTACCCATTGCATCAACAATACGTCCAAGCCCCGTCATGTGAGGACCTCAGGGTGTGTTTGGAGAAGCAGTATCCTGCATCTTACCAGCGGGCACGCTGTGGCACAGAATTGACAAGAGTCTCACCCAAGGTTAGATAGTGGTTCAGTAGCGGCGCTTACAAGTGGAAGCCAGGAGAGGTGACAGCAAGCAGTTGGACCTGAGCAGTAGGCGAGAGAGGGGTTTCTTCCAGCCCAAAGTGTGGACGTGCTGAGACCTGGGGCTCTGGGTTTAGTGCTGTCCCGATGCAGGTGTGGGCATGCCTGCACTGCACTCACTGCTATGCCATGTGGCCATGCCAGGAGAGAGCCAGCGCTGGCAGGAACGCCAGCGGGAGGCTGGATGTGAAGGGCCTGATTGCATTTGATGTATGGCGTTGCAATGCCTCTGCATAACTGTCCTCTCTCCCTCCCTCCTGCCCCTTTCCTCATTTCTATCTCGGTTACGATGACCAGCTTCTTTCAAGACGGCTGGAAAGCGGCGCAGAACCTGCACCCATTCATTGAGAAGCTCGCTACCTCCCTGCACGCAGTAAGTGACTGCCGCCAGGAGCTGCTGAGGGTTGCAGCTGCTCAGCCCTCTGTAGGGTCATGCCCTTGATTTTGATTTTGTTTCTCAAAGTGGACTCCAGTGCAGGGTGCAAACCTGCCAGGGGGAACCTCCGGGATCTCCTTCGAGGCCGAGCTGGTCCTGGGCATTAGACCAGTGCTTTTCCCTTGCATGGCAGGGAGATGGAAAGAAGTGACGATGACTGAAGTGTGCTGCGGGTAGGGTCCCTAGCAGGGACTCGCTGCTGGTGCTGGGTACATGCACAGCCCTGGCTCTGAATTTGAAACCACCCAACAGAGCCTGATGAAACAGCATCGACCAGCACAAAGCCGTGCTTCCCTAATCTACTAGACCTCCCTGAATGCATCAATGACCAATTGGGGTTGTATTTGGTAGTCAGTAGAGGTAGCCGATGACCAATGGTAGCCAGTGACCAATTGAGGCTGTAGTTAGCCTGAGACAAAAAGAGATGCAAAAATCTAGAAGTCCTGGTTCAGAGATGATACCTTTTATTAGACCAACTAAGAAATCGCACAAAAATGCTCTTTTCCGGCAAGCTTTTGAGCTCACAGATTTCCATCTTCAGCTTCCTCTGTGCAAAAACAAAGTTTATTTCCTACCTATGGCGACTTGTTAGCATCTTTAGTTTTCCCTGAGCCTGATGAAGGGCGCGGGAGACCGAAAGCTTGCAGAAAAAGATCATTTTTTTTGTGATTTCTTAGTTGGTCTAATACAAGGTCTCATCTCTGGACCAAGACTTCTACATTTTTGCATTTCTTCAATGACCAGTTGCACACTCCCGAGCAAACACTGCTGCCGGTTAGTGGTAGAAACAAGGTGCCAGGCTGGTGCGTGTTGAGCCCTTGCACTGCTTTTCCATGGGTTCCTTTGCTTCCCCGGTGTCCGATGCATCCCAAAAGCTACGTCTTGTTTGGGAGCATATCTGATGGAGTTTCACACGTGTTGCCTGGAGATGCAGCTCTCCGTTTGGCTCCCCTGTAGACCAGCCTCCAGCTGCCCTTCTCTCTCATCTTGACCGCAGCATCCGTTGCTAGCAGCGGGGTCCCCTCCTTCGCTATGCCTGGCTTGGCCTGGCCAGTTGTGGAGCTCAGGCGAAGCTCGGCCCCTTTGCTGCCAGGCGGGCAGTGTGGCTGTGGCTGGGGTGATGGGCGTGCTTGCACAGGTCCCATCCAGCAGCTGCTTCTCTTGCCAGCTGCAGCAGGCCCAGGAGGAGGAGGTGAAGCAGCTCACGCAGATCCGCGACTCTCTTCGCAGCACCCTGCAGCTGGAGAACAAGGAGGTGAGGCTGCTGAGCTTGGGATGACCTGGTGCCTCTGCCGAGAGACCGCTCCCGGGGCTGGACAGGAGCGGCCTGCCTTGGGGATGGGGGTCCCAGGGTAGGGTAATGCTGGGGCTCAGCTGCTCCCGGTCCAAGAGGCTGTGCAGATGCCCAGCATTGTCCCAGAGGATGCTGAGGAAAGGAGAGTGATGGGACCAGGAAATTAGCCACCTGTGAGGGACACGGATACGGTGCAAGGTGGCAGGAGCAAGAGGCAGAGTGCAGCCAGGGGAGGGCTTTCGGAGGTAGTAAGGACGGGCACTCGGAGATCTGGGGTGATCGCCGCAGGCCCGGTCCTGCCCGGTCCTTGGAGGAGATGCTCGGGGCTTGTGAGGATGAGGTGGCTGGTACCACTTTGAATGTCTTTCTCCTCTTCCCCTCGGTGAGCTCAGGAGAACCTGAGCAGGAAGAACTCGGGCAGCGGCTACAGCATCCACCAGCACCAAGGGAACAAGCAGTACGGGACGGAGAAATCGGGCTTTCTCTACAAGAAGAGTGACGGGTGAGCATGAGACGCCCCCTCCTTGCTCTGGTTACCAGGACGTGCTGCTTCCTGGGGCCTGAAGCTATTAGTGGCCCAGGGGGCAATTTGTGGCAGGGGCAGGGGCAGGTCACCGAGGATCAAGAGGTGGAAGAAGTGGTCGGGAAAGGGTTTTTTTTGCCCAGTGCCCTCCAGCAGGTCCCACTAGAAGCCAACAAGGGTCCTTTCTGGGTTAGTGGGGTTGCCCATTTCCTAAAGGCCCCACTTATCTCCTGCTGGAGCCTCAGCAGGGAGAACAGGACCCAAGGGAGATGTTGCCCTGGGTCAGGACTGAGGCCTGTTGCAGGGGGACCTTGTCTGCAAGCCGTGGTCTTCGAGGTTACCAACGTTGTCCCAGCTTCCTACAAAGGCAGAGAGAGAAGAAGCCTCTTAAGGGTGTGGATGGGGGTTGATGGGGAGTGAGGGACGAGGCCCTTGCAGCAGAAAGATGGAGACCTTGGGAGCGTCTCCACGTAGGCCAGCGGGCACAGCTCTGCTGAAACCATTGCTGAGAGGAGGCAATGGAGGTGGGTTCAGCCCTGGCTTTGGGGGGATGGTGACATGGGGGGCACGGCACAGCCCCTCACTCCCCGCTCTGCCCGCCCTAGGATCCGGAAGGTGTGGCAGAAGAGGAAATGCGGCGTGAAGTACGGGTGTCTCACCATATCGCACAGCACGGTAAGGCTTGGCAGCAGCTGGGGCAGCCTCCGAGCTGGTCCCCCAGGGCTTAGTGTATACAGCAGGACCTGGGAATGATTGGCCTGCAGGTTTCATCTGTTCACACCCTCCATCCAGCCACCCTTTTCCTTCCATCTCCCCTGGATGAGCGCACGAAGAGCCAGCGAGGCGGCGGTCGTAGGCTCCTACGATCATAGGAAAGTCAGGCTGGAAGGCACCTCCTGACCTCCTCTAGTCAAGCCTCCTGCTCAAGGCAGGATCATCCCTGAGTAAACCCATCGCACAGATTTCATAGACATTATAGCCACTGGACATTAGGGCTGGGAGGGACCTCGCGAGATCATCTGCTCTAGCCCAAACTAGAAACCATGCAGTGCAGATGGAAACCCTTTACAATATCCATCTCTGCCTCATCCTGTCATGCTCACCTTGTGTGCATTGGTGGGGAGGGAAGCCACCAGCTTGTAGCCCCAACGTATGGCACGGAGCAGTGCAAAACAGCAGTTTTGTTTCCTAGAAGCCCACCAAAGCTGAGAACTGAATCCTTTATAGGTTGCTGTAGGTAGGGTTGTACCCTCCCAATGCAAGTCTAGCACTTGGACAAGATCAGCTGTTCATGAAATGTTGGGCAAACCCGGCCCAGGTTTGGGTTTTAAGGATGCTTTAGATTGGAGACTGCATAAAAACTCCTCAGTTGTCAGTGGCTCATTGGAGAGCGAGACTGTGCCTACGAGAGAAACCCTTCAGTGCCTTGTCAAGCAGAAAGAGGTAGCTCATAGACTGGTAGAGAAGCAGGGCTGGAAGGGACCTCCATAAGCCACCTAGTCCAACCTATCCACCCCAGCATCGCCCCTAGCCAAACCATCCATCATCCGTTAGCAAAACGACATAGTCAACCCTGCTGCAGTCTGCAGCCTGTTAGCCCAGTCCGTCTGAAGTCAGGCAGGAGGCAGGGTGGGGTGAGAGAGTCAAGAGCCCCTTGAGGGTGCAGACAGTAGACAGAAAATAAGTAAAAAAGAGGGCTGCCCTCCCAAGGCAGACGAGGCAAATTGCAGCTTGAAAGAGGGAAGCTGCACATCCGCTGCAGCAAAGGTCCCATGCTTTGGCCCAGGAGAGCAGAAGGAGGCTTAGGTATTGTCCGGGGACAAGGTGGAGGAAGCTGTGGCCCTCCGAGACCACCGGGACTGGGTTGTTCCCCACGGGGAGGTCTCCCTTTGTTCACGGTTGGAGAGGCAGCCTTGGGACCCAATGCCTGCGTTCCCTAATAGTGACCGGTGCCCCGGGAGGCCAGCGTCCCCTCTCTCCGCGTCCCGTTTCTACCTATCCGCTCGGTTCCCTGCACAGATAAACCGGCCTCCCGTGAAGCTGAACCTGCTGACGTGCCAAGTGCGGCCGCACCCCGAGGAGAAGAAGTGCTTCGACCTCGTGACCCGTGAGTGGGGTCTTGCCTCTGGCAATGCAGCTGCTCCCGTCTGGGTCTGGGTCTAGGAGGCCATTTGGGCTCTCGAAGCCCTGTGCATCTGGTTAGGAGATGCCTTCCCCCCTGCAGCTCCGGACACCCTGTCCGATGGTTACTGCCCGTCAGACCACAGGGATTTCGTCTGCGTGCAGGCAGCCATGAAAGCAAGGCTATTCCAGCTAGAAAAGTTCCACCAAACTCCGAGGCAGCCGCCTCCGAGACAGATTTCTGCCCTGCTCCTTCCTCCCGCCTCTTCCCCGCCAGCCCCCAGCTCAGCCCGTGCATTTAACCCCTCCAGACCCTCTTTCCGCAGCCTCTCCCTGGCTGAGGATGCCCATCCCGTGTTCCCTTGCTGATGGCTGCAGATGTCCCTTGTGGAGTTTAAATGAGGTCTGCCAAACCCGTGATTCTCAGGACGTAAAGTGCCAGGTCTCTGGAAGTAAAAGGCAACAGCTTTACGCTGTGAAAAACCAGCTGCTTGGAACATCTGGAGCTGGGGGCAGATCCTGCCGGGAGAACTGAGGCATCCTCAGCTGTTGCAAGCTTGCCTTCACCTCTTCTTTCCTTGTCCCTGCAGATAACAGGACGTACCACTTCCAGGCGGAGGATGAGCAGG